TGTTTTACATAAACTTGCTTAGAAGACTCCATGAACGACCCTGGATTTTGTATTTCGAATAAGTTAAACTGATTCCTTTCTGACCTCATCTCCGCGCCTCAGTAGACCCAAATGATTGAGTTAAAAATAACAATATTAAAAATTCCAATGTAATGGATTTAGTACGCAACAAACCAAATAAATGTTTCAACCAACGTGAATTTAGATATATCGCTTGTAGTCGGCACGTGATTCATTTTAATCTACCGCCCCATGAAATAAAAACACACACAGGTACAGTAGTTGTAAAATATATAAGCAGACAATAACTTGTTAAAAGAGGCTGAGGGTACCGTTCATTGAGATGATATCTTACGCGATGGGAGAATTGTGCTGGAGCTGTCATGCATAAACCACATTTGTCTTGTATTCAGTGGTGCATCTTCAAGGAGACGTGGCAAGTGTCTTCTTAAGAATCACCGATGTGAAGGTCCTCTTAAGACGCGATGGAAGCATGTGTGGACCAATAAACATGTAGCCAACAATTCCTGCCCAAACGTTAATTGAAAATCTTTGCTGGAAGCTGGATTCACTTTGATATAAAGTCAATTAATTGAAACTCATTTTTGGCTATTATTTCGAAAATGAAACATTTCCAACCCCATGTTCATGGGAAATTTTTATTCTTATTTTTGATCCTGGAACATGCACACGAAGTTTGTAAACATACTTCTGACTCATCCTGTATATTGTTCATGCTGCCCTTAAAAAGACACTGATGAGTCCTCTGAGGAAATTTCTCCAGCACCATGGATTAACAAAATATGGCACAGTAATTTATAACTGGTGTTCTGCAAGGATGAGTCCATAACAGATGTCACATGTTGCCATTAAAAGAAAGTTAAATTGTTTAATATGATATGAAATAATCATTTGTCCTTATTTTGTACGTAAGAAGACAAACTTACTGTTTCTTTTATTTATATCATTTGGCATTCTAATGAATACAGTGACAGATCATAAGGATTATGAAGGATGATCACATGGCAAATGTTAGGCAAATGGGATCATTTTGTGTGTTCACAGGAAGTGAATTTCTGTTCAACAAATTTATTCTCTTCATAATTAATTAACAATACACCAATTTTAGGTCAAAATCAATATACATCTGCCTGAATTATATATGTACATTGCTTTGAAGGAAAGCAACTGTCATTTTGTGTGTGAAGGTATTACTAAAATCCTGCTGAAAAAAAAATTTTTACATATTGCACTGGCCTACATATGATAATGTAGATAAAGGTATTTTCTTTCTGAAGAGACAGCGGATTTTAAGATCAGTTCTAGAAGTACAGTAATAGTAAAATTATTCAAACCTGAATTTAAGTTCAGTAGTGTTATACATATAGTAAGTTTGAAAATCTGTATTACATCTTCTTTTAACAGATGACATCCACCAATAGTCAAAACAACATACAACAGATATCTCTGTCTATCTCAGTTTCTCTTTTGACCGGTAAAGAAAGTCCCAGCCAGGCTGTTGATTAAAATAATCTGTTAATCTTATTATTTCGGATCACAAGGCACATAAAAACAAATGGCCACTCTAGATCTACAATCTACTTAAAAAAGTTTTAGTTGCCAAAAGATATTGAACAACTACATGAGCTGTTATGGGGTATAAATTGTGTTAATGCAGTGTTCTTTTCATTAAGGCTGTCTCTAAATCAAACAGCCTCAGGATTTGTCAATTGCCTGTTGATAACAGTGGCAGCATTGTCACATGGATTCCAGTCACATGTACATCCATGTTCTTCTCACAACACTACAACACAAGACCAAATATGTACACTTACCGTGCCTGCAGCAGGGCAGGTTACTATGTGAACCCATTTCTTTGTAGATAAACAGTAAGCAAGCACACAAATTAATTTAACTTAATTTAATTTAATTCTCACCGTTACTGAAGAATGATATGGTGGCTCATTGCATGGTTCACTGATTTACATACACAGTGTCAAAGTCTGTGTGCACCTGTATCAACTCCAGTTTTATGGTTTATGTCCTTATACAATTAAAAGTTACAATAAAGACGAAATACTTACAAGTTCATAATTATCAAACAAAAATACTAGAGTAAAATCTATTATTGTGTCCTTCCCAGGATCAAGCCTAGTTAGCCTCTTATTAGTTAGTAATTACACTTTCTTATCTTTACTACTACCTTCTTCTTCAGGTTGAATGATCTGATCTTTGGAAGAAGAGAGATTCTATCAGAGCTCTACTATGTATATTTGTTACCGGCAATGCATAGAATGCCTAAAGTCAGTTGGCAAAGTATGAAATAAATCGAAATGTTAATATTGTTTGGTTGTGTACATTAAAATTAATCAAAGCTGATTGGGTAAGCTGTCAAGATGGAGCTTGTGCAAGATAGTCGCGAAAACACCAAGCTACTGAATGTGAACATAACAAAAGTTCTGAGAATTAAAAAAAATTGTTTTATATTAAGTTCTTGCAAACATGAAAGATAAAATAAATCTGTATAAATCTTATTATAGAAACTTCTTTGTTATATATTAATACTTTGCCTAAAGAATCTGAGGCATTTTATAAAATTCCTTGGTATTCTATAGAATACCTATGCAAAGTACAAAATAAACTGTTAGTTTCATACATTGCCTAAAAGTTTTAAGCTTTTTATAAAATGCCTGGGCATTCCATAGAATTCCTGAATTTCATAATTTGCCTGCTGACTTTAGGCATTCTAATCATTGCCAGATTTCATAGTTTACCGTTAACATATTCATTACTCTTCTTTTAAGATCTTTACAATTTTCCTTATGGTATTATATAAAATAAACTTTAAACCATGTAAAACCTAAAATGGAGAAAACTAAAAGGTTTTTAACATTGTCCATGCAGATGCAGGTGGCTAAAACTTTATTCACAATTATTAAAACTTTAATCAGCATGACACAAAAAATTTCCAGCCATGGAGACTTTTATCAGTGTTAATGAAGAAATATTTCTGCTACATGACATTGCTAAAAAAAAGCATCATTTTTGGCATACACAAACTGGATCCACTTTACGCTAATTGTCAGGAATGCAACTGTGATCTGATAATGCAAAATTGATATTTTGAACCTTGTGGACTTGGGTTCAGTGCATTTCAGAAACAGCAATTTCTCTACTAGGGACCTTGGCAATTTATTTGCACAATATTGCTGTAAATTAGATAAATGTTGTTTTACAATTCTAATTGCAAAGAAGAATTTAAGTTGAACTAATTTCATACTGAAAGTTAACATGACTTACTAGAATATACTTATGTGTTTGAAAAATTAAATGTGATATATGAAGCAAAAACAGGGCTACATTACACTGTTTCAATTATAACACAACATATCACTTCAGATTCTTTGTCACTTGAGTACTTTACACTTATTCTTAAATATTAATTCTAGAACAAAATGTAATTAATGATGATTAAGTGGTTATCACTTTTGCCTCATTTTCTCTAGCTCTGATGTTCCGAAAACTTGGTCAGGTATTCTGAGTGAGGTACTTTTGTGGATTTCAATAGTCATTCCAGGCACAGAGTAGTAATATAGTAGTTGGTTTATAGACACATCAGCTACTCTGGCTATTAGCACCTGTGTTTTAATTAAAACATGCTTTTCTACACTGGTAGATTATTCATCTATTGGTCACAGAAATCATAATAATCAATAAAGGTGAATATCATGTAGGAAGGTAAACACTTGTTCTAAAATGTCAGTACTGTTGCCTAGCTGATCTCTGATAGTATTAGGGAGGTAAAACATCTGGTGTCTGATGGTGTATCTTTGGCATGTCTGATGCTAAGTTAGGCATTACTAGGGGCACACATAGGGGTGGATTGCCAGACAGAAGATGGCTGTGTGAGGTGGGTGTCCAATCCACAGGCAGATTTCCACAACCTCATTATGGCAAATAAGGCAACTAAAAGACCTCAATAGAAGTGTCACTGGTTGAACTCCTCGTAGTTTCAAAATTAGTCCAGTGTATAACTCTAGCTTTCAGATGAGAGCTATATTGAATGTTTGGTGTCAACCTGCATTTCGGCCGACATTGCAATTGCATTTTCAGGGTGAGTAATGGATGTGGAAATTTCTGGAAGCTTTATATATGGCAGGAAGTGA